AGCAATGCATGTGCTGAGTAACTTACGAGCAGTGGGTTTAAGTTCTTCTGAGCATCGTGCAATGTATCTTTCGTTCCAGGCTTGGAGCTCCTCCGACATGACCTTTTGACGAGTTACAAAGTCTGATAGCTGTACATCCCCAGTATATTAGTCGATTATATTGGGAACTTTTGTGTATGAGACGGCTATATAACGTACGTCTCGAATAGTCGCGGCTGCCTTCGGTAAAGACAACTCGGGATATCTGCCAATGATACGGAACAGTTCTATAAGAGACACCAAGTAGCCATCGCACGATAGGTTATACTTCCACCCGTGTAGCTGAGTAGAAGCGTTCCTTATCAGCTAACCAAGGGTAAATTAGTCTAACCACACTAGCGTATGTCATAGATCACTCTTACCTCGTTCTCTGGCATCATGGCAGGCTTTCCGAGGTTGATACAGTGGCATCGGTCCATGATGTAGCACACAGCGTAGGCACGAAGGCGATTCAAGAGTTCTCGCTCAACACGCTCATCGGTCGGTTTGTGGTCTGGAACACGCCCCAAGTCAAGGTCAACAGCCAGTCTAGTACAGCGCCTTAGCTCGTGAATTGATCCTCGTCGACTGCCATCGCAATCTTACCGAAAAGCGATTCCGCTGTAAAACCATGTCCTATCCTCGTCCCATCGTCGTGCAGGAGGCATGTATGATGCCATGAGTAGAAATGCTTGGCACATCTCGACTGTCTTCCATCCATCGAGGAAGGCGTTTGCTGCAGCCGCCTTGGCCATGTGTATGGCCATGTGGTATATTTCTTTTTTCTCATCATAAAACCTTGACGAGATTGCGCACACTAATAACAGATTCCCCCCATAAGCATATTATCGGCGTATAAGTAAGGGATACGTACCAACAGTAAACAGGAATGGACATCTCCCTAGAACGGCAGACGGAGTATGGATATTCTCGTCGAGGATCGGCACAACTGGCTGTACATCAACAATGGTCAGCTGTTGTAAAGAGTCCTGATTTAATTATAGGACGGACATTGATACACCTCCAATATCTGTCGAAAAGTAAGTATTGAGACCTCTTTCAAGTCAGGCAGTATGCAAACGTACATGTCGAAGAGTTTTCCCACATCTTCATTGGTAATCAGGCCTGAGAGAAGAATATCGGGTGCAGCCTGACGCTCCACAATAAGTCTTCGAAGATCTAGATTTGAAGACGGACCTAATTAACAAGATACGACCAACGTCAGCCTACACCCTTCATAGGAATACGAGCATCCCAGCTTGAGGAAGGTTTACATACCAGGTTCAAAGTATGCCAGATTCCCGATCCCCTCTTCTTGGGATGATAGAATGTCTGCTTGACTGCCTTCAGAGGATGCAGGGTCTCTTGCAAAAGCCGGGGACCCGACTCTAGATTCCAGTGCAGTTTTTGCGACTAATCCAGTCGGAGCCTCTGAGGCCGGTAGTGGGTGTATGTGTAACGAGGTAGTAGATTCTTGTAGGTCCTCTACATCGGAAACCTCTTCCGGGTCTGAATCACACTCGTATTCCTCTTCAAGCGTTGACACGTCAAACTTGCGAAGGCCCTCCCCGGCGCCTTTTGACGTTCCTTGACCCTTTTCGTAGTATGTCAATACATCTCGGTAGACCGTGCGTTGTTCCCGGGTAAGAGCAAGACGAGAGGGTGTGATAGATAGCGGTGTAACCGTTGAGGATGTCGGGTTGAGCCGAGCAAGGAGATTGTCTATCATAGCGTCTTTTTCTCTGATTTGCTTACGAAGAATCTCGCGCATTCTACACAGGGATGAAAAGAAAGACTACTATAGAGCGGGGAGTTGCTTACCCCGGAGACCTCGGTTTACGACCAAGGACGACACATTCGTGATTACCGACCATGCACCTCGCACACACTCGATCATCGTCTTCGAAAGTGCATTTCATCTGCGACATTGCCCACCGATGAGGAAATGAAAGTACACTAGATTCACAGGCATAATCCCTCACCTTGAGCCTCTTGCATCTGGTGCATGCTCCAGAGATACGTCCGCTTAAAGCCTGCTGTGTCTTTCTCGAACGCTTCGCTGGCGGCGCATCTTCGGTAGAAGGAGATGCTGGCATTGTGTACGATGGATGTGGATGCTTGCCTAGGCCACGACTCTGAGGAAAGGAATAGGACATGTCGGGGAGGCTTTGGTGAGATGGGTGTGGAGCATTATTGAAGGATGGCGGGCATGGTGTCCCCGTTGAGGTAGAAGCGAGCAAAGGCATTTGAACGCCCGATCCATTCACGTACGACTGCAAGGGATCAAAATGCGTATGGTGTTGATTCTCATGATCTGATAACGACAATGATTGAACCAAATGAGATGTGCTGTAGCATGGAGAGAGGAACATAGCGGACAAGGAACTCACGAGTGTTGCTGAGGGCCGAACGCCAGGAGTTTATATCACTCGGAGGATACTCCGGTTCAAAAAAACGATCGGACGCCAGCATAACAAGATCGTCACGGGAGGAGGTTGAGCTAGGGGGAGATGTTTCTGAATGGCCGTTTCTATACTGCGTAAAGGACATGACTGCCCGCGCTGTGTGAACCGCCGTGGCTAGATTGGTCTCCGGACGAAGATGAGGGGAGAAGGATAGTGCCCACAGTCCGTAGAGTTGAGATGGTTCTCGTAGGGTGTGGGTGATCGGGAACGGAGCGATGGATCGCTATATAGTGGTCTCGGGGCACTCCCGAAGACGGCAAGTTTCGACTTCGGGGCCACAGACGTAACTCTAAGGCTGTCCGCAACGATAGTAGGGTCTGCATGCAGCTCTGAGATTGTTCATGACCAGCCTAAGATGAACAGCAGATACAATTGGCAGATCCAGTCCCATCTTGAATCGGAATGAACGGCCAGATTTGCCGCCAGGGTGAGTGATGAGCGTTGTTGAGAGTTTTGATACAGCAGCCGACAACAAGGGCGGGACATGTGTCGTTGGCGCTGCACAGCTTGAGAAGGTATGTGTCCTGACGGAGGTCGGTTCCCATGAACATTTGTCGCTTTGTTCCATTGCAGCGCCTCGTAATAGACGTCGCCAAAGGATTGTGGCACCCCCGTATAGTTCTGTACACCAGGAAGCACTGCTCGTCTCGTGATACTGTAGTTTCAGTGTTCTTCGAAGCATCGTGTCCCTGGGATCAAACGTACTTACAAACAATTTGAACAAGTCTGAGCAATCCACTGATCTGTCTTACCAAGGCGCACTCCTGTAGAAGGCAGCCGCGTGCCGTAAATAAACAGCTCTGTCCCAATAAGACGTCAAGGACGCACCGATACTGCGGCCTCATTAGCTTGTACCGATAACGGAGCTAGGTCAGCGGCTCTAATTCGACTAGAAATAAAATGAGTGTGGGGAGACTTCTGGTTGCACATGAGAATCCAAGCTCATAATTGCACCTGCCTCCAAGCGGGCGCCGAAGAATTCTTCGTGAACGCCAGAGACAGACGCGCAGTACATGCGGCCGACGGCTCCCCGTGAAATGGCCATTCTTCGATAATTGATCGTAAACTTGGCAGAAGCGTTTGGGATTCAGTTGCGATATCACACGACTGCTGTGAACGACGGAAGTGCGCACCAACTGATTGCATCATGCCCGACGTTGATCGTGGTTATGAGACAAAAAAAATCCGAATCGTATCGGATAGCCACAACATGCAGACAAGAACGGTCTGTCTCCCAGATCTTGGAGGGCGAAACGTAGGAGTTTGGAATCTTGTGCTCCGCGTAACGGCCGGGGGAACACGGTGCGATATTAAATGACTCCAACGTAAAGATCGTCGGAGACTTGAAGCTGAGTGAGCATCCAGCGGAATCTGATGGCTTGTAAGTTGGCTACGGCGGCTCCGGTCGCGGGAGCAAAGACGCTCACCGAAACTCTTTTTTTGCAAAAGAAAGTCCGTATGTCGAGACCAGGAGCAGCCTAGAATGTCATTGGGAAAATGGGTGGGAGCCTGCTGACAACTTCATGCCGTCAACATCAAGAAGGTGCAATTGGAGCCGTGCGTCGTCACTCTGTGTAAGACCCTGATCGACTCTGGTTGGATGGACACTAATCCGTAACATTGGTGAGCTGCTGTACTTGAGTCGTTCTGGCTAAACAAGTGTGAGTTGTGCTTCACTTTAACGTACATTGTTCTCCATCCAGGGACATGCGCACTAGTATCGGCACAGGGTACCCGCGTTTTAGTCGGTGTCGGTGTCGGTGTCCTGCATGTCTACCGTCGTCTTGAGGTGCTGAAAACATACTATCACAATGAAGCACGCACACGTCATTCAACTGTCAGGTCTCAAGTCTACGTATGATTTGATTGAGACTCACATATGCGGTGTAGAGCACCTTTGTATCTGAAACAGACGAGCATAGCCTGTAGGTGTTCAGAACGATCCGGGGATGGACAGAGCCTATCGATGCCAAATACATGTAACAGGACGACACTGTAGTTGTATCGAGAAGAAATTTCAGTTACAACGGATGAGCGTTGTGTCGCTCTGTATCTTTTGCCGACCATTGGGCCCAAAACTCGGATGTCATCTGCTTCAGGGCAAAATACAGTTTGAAAGCATCGGTGCTTAGTGTTAACGTTCATCCGTCAGCTGAATAAAACAAAATTCAACAGAAAAAGCGTACCATTAGGTCTGTGGTCAAGCATCCCAAAGTAATGTAGTATGTCGTCTAAAGGTGTCACGATCAGGTATATGCACTGTTTTGACTTGTTTCCCTTGACGTCCGTATGCTAAATGACCAAACTAGAGATCAATCATAAATGAGTGTAGAGTAAGTAAATAAAATAGGTAGAGAGCGCGTTCGACTTCCCTCGATTGAACAACGGTAGAGGAACGAGTTTGTGACGAACAAACATTTGGTCCTCCGAGTCCGATGGCCAACTTGGTTCGCCGGATGGTGGCTATCTATAGAACTCTATATTATTATATACTATTATAATTGAAGGTTCTAACATGGCCGCCTAGCTCAGTTGGTTAGAGCGTGGTGCTAATACTAAGCGCTTGTTTAGTCTACGCCAAGGTCGTCGGTTCGATCCCGGCGGTGGCCATTAATTTTTATTACTCGTATTTTGCACGTAGGAAAGTGTGGAGGAGCAAGCTTCTTACGACTTATATACTTTTTTGTACTTAGCACAGTGATTGAAATATTTCTAGTACTGTAATTATATTACTGAAGAATAGTGCAACTACCGGTCCGGTCCTGCCGCGTGTATAACTGTTATTTTGCCGAAGACAACATTGAACGTGTACTGGCAGTTGTTGCAACGTTGAACGTTGATCGTCTACTTTGTTGCGCATAGCAATTAACTACATAATATAGTGAGCAGAGATTCATTAGCTTAGCGTGCGATTAGTGCAGAGTCGGGTTGAGAGTTACAAAACTGAAATCAAAGTTATGTACCCATCAAAGAGTTATCATGAACGCAATAAAAATTAATGTCGAATTTGACGGCACTGCTTCTTGACTCTGTACTCGTCGGAGGAACTGCTGCTTGCTCTTTTCAGCGCCGAACCACGCACTGTCAAGTCGTTTGGACTAACTCTCACCAGATTTTATCCCGAGTATGTCTACTGTAGAAGCAGCATCCGAAAACTTGGCCGACTCGAAGGTGGAGGAAGTTAAGCAGAACGGCGCCGCAGAGGAGCAGCCCATAGAGTCTACCGCGGTGGAGGCAAAAGTAGAGGGGGGTGTTAGCATGGACGGAGATGAAAAGGATAAAAAGCTACGCGCCATCCGTCAGAGTACGTATGCAGCCAACTCGCGATGTCGTCTCTCTTGCTGACCATTGAGCGGCCGGCGTAGTTGAATTCTACTTCGCGGACGCAAACCTTCCTTATGACAAGTATGATCCTATTCTCGCGGTAGTATATCTGAAGTTTAAACTAACAACTGACTTCTTACAAGATTCATGTGGACTTTGCATACCGCCAACCCAGAGCACTGGGTCCCCATTAAGACCGTAGCGTCCTTCAAACGGATGCGCGAGTTCTCTGACAATGGATTGGAATGGATAACGGAAGCGCTTCGCACAAGTGATGCCCTTGAAGTGGACGAAAAAGGAGAGAACGTTCGACGCCGAACAGAGGTTACAGAGCCCAAAGGTCAATTCGAACGGAGTATCTATGCAGTTAGTCACCTCATGGCCCTCCGATTGAGGTTTACTCGTCTCTCGCTCATGAACTCTACTTTACCACCCAGAAAGGCTTCGGTGAAGAAGTTCCTGGCCTGCAAGAGAAGATTGAGGCGTTCTTCAACCAGTATGGGCGGACCAGCGCTGTGCGCATGAGGAGGGAAGAGGGCAATAAATTGTTCAAGGTATGATCGGTGTTATGGTTCTGCATTGCTTATTCATGGATCTCCGGGTACCCCAGGGATCTGTATTCGTTGAGTTCGACGACATGAGTTCAGTCGAGAAGTTTCTCAGCACAGACCCGAAACCTACTTGGGAGGGCAAAGAGCTCCTCACGATGTCAAAGTACGTCTGATTAGACCTATCTCTGTGAATTGATTTTTCTCACTTCTTCAATACAGAGAGGCCTATTGCGAGATGAAAATCAAAGAGAAAGGTCTCACCGGCAAGGCCGCTGTTCTCCGTAAGGAGTCCATGGCGTCAGCTGGCAAGAAAGGGTTCAACGCATTCCGAGAGATTGCTGCTGCGAACGGCAAGGGCAGGGATAAGGACTCGAAAGGCAAAGAAAAGGCTAAGCCCGAAGTATGGCTGGAGTTTCTCGGAAATAGGATCCGGGTGTACGACGAGGACGGCGGTAAGATCAAGAACGAAGACGTTCCCTATGTCAAAGACGCCAGTCTCAAGTTTGAAGGAGTCGAGGGTGATGTTAGCTTTGACGAAATCAAGGTTAACCCAGGATTTGTCTTGCATCGGATCTAATTTTCTAATCATTGAAACGTTTCTGTAACAGGGCCCACTCAAGGAACGTTTCCCCCGTTCGCCTTTCGTACAATATACCAAGGGCGACAATTGGGGTCTGGTAGGGTTTGATAAAGCTCTATCAGAAGAGGAAATCACGTTTGTGAAGGAAAAGATCAAAACTCTCGGCGAAAAGGAGGTCAACTGGTCGCATTTGGATGGTGAGAATTCCTCGTCCAAGCGCTTTCCCAAAAATTTTAATGTCATTTCTGAATGTTTACCTCAACGTATCTTACAGAGGACGCAGAGAAGAAATTCCAACTCGAGAGGGCCACCTCGGCTGCCAAACGTGCCCTACACTTCTCCCAACGCGATGACAGAGGTGGACGCGGTGGTCGTGGCGGACGTGGTGGTCGTGGTGGTCGCGGGAGTCGCGGTGGACGTGGAGGTCGTGGTGGAGGCCGTGGCGGCGACCGCAACCGTGAACGCGCTGAAAAGGCTGCAACAGAAAAGCCCGCCGCGGCAGGCGAGGAGCAGACGGGCGACAAACGCAAGCGTGCAGTCGAGCCCGACGGTGGCCCTGAAACTGGTGTGCGTGGCCAGGCTGTTCCTCTCATTCAGAGCTCGAAGAAGGCGAAGACTGACAGTGAGGCGTCGTAAAAATCTATATTGATAGGTGGTGTTTGTTATCTTGTTGTGTCATATCTCATCTGTATTTTATCCGTTCATGAGCATACTCAATGTATTGAGTCTCGACTACGCATCTTTGACTATATTATTCTGTTGTCTGGTCTCAGTTTTAGGGAAAGCTGCTGTGGAATACATGCTTGATCAATTTCGTGGTTATGCAAAGGATTTATCTTCATCTCATTATATTCGCGATATGTGGCTAGTCACATCGTTTGCTCGGTCAATGGGATCGGAACTCGTGATTCTCTCTCTATTAACAAGACACGAAGTAGATACAGCGACAATAAGTTATATGCAATTGGACTTCTAGTAAGATGCGATGTGAGTGTAATAATGATAGGAGAAAGCAATGAGATGATATGCTATGCAGAGGTATAGATGAGCGTGATGAAAGCGATGCATGAATGTCCAGACGATGGATGTGAGAGGTTGTTGAGACGCGTCTAGCGTTCAAACTTCCAACTCGACGTCTGCTTGCCAGATGCTTGAGCCAGCGTGTACCAACGAAACGATAAAGATATTTTGCGTTCGGAGCTTGGACTGGCCGCCTATATCCAAGTCAACAAATCCAGGATGTACTCCACCTTTAGCACTTCCCACGTTCCGGGCTGCATGCTATTGGAAAGTATAGGTTAAATCAAAGTTCCCAAGAGAGTATGCTGAATATACGAACTTCGAAGTACAGTAAGAACTGGTTAGCAATGGCTATGAAGAGTTGTCCGCGAGTAAGAGGTCCGCGAGGTCCTTTCATCGGGATAGGCACCACAATTGAATAGTCTGGATACGCGGGCCACTGGAGATTATACGTGAGCAATAGGAAGGATCCAGCATAGGGAGAGAGTATACTGACAACTATACGAAGCCTGATCGTGTGCGCACCAAGGTCGATGACATCGTCGCACCTAGACAAGTACTTGCGTAACCCGGAACCAGAACCGGCCATAGTAGCATCATGAATCCGAACACCAGAACCAGGTAGGCCTGACGGTGCGTCAAACGGCACGCGTGATACCGTGGAGTTCTTGGTTTCTTGAGGACGAGTACAGTAAGGGACGGCCCAACGGTTTGTGAGTCCCGCAGGGTGTTGATAAATACGCTGCATTTTAACTCAAAAACTAGACTAGACTGGAATTGCTGAGACAGAGCAAACAGAGAGCTCGAAAGTAGGCTTGTACGGGGCTGGAGATCGCGAATAGTCATTGTAGCGAACCTAGCTGCGAAATTTATACCAGCGTATCCAGGATGTTGAAGGCCCCAAAGTCCAAAGACCAAAGAGCGGAACCAAAGAACTCAAAGGGCCAGGAAGAGCTATGTGTTTCATCCCGAAAGGGCCACAGGTCAAAGATCTCAGTATTGCTGTTGTCCGGCATAGACAGGCCCATTTTGGAAATCACTTGTGAAGAGATCCCGACGGTCAAAGAGATAGCATCCATGAGGCCCAGGGAGAGACGACAGATAATATGGTGACGAGGTGAAGAGCACATCCTGCGAGCCATGACCTGAAAGAAAACCTTAGTGACATCACAGCTCACCTATCCCTCATTGCAGTAGCATGGCATAGCGATTTTAACTAGAGTAACAGGTGATATCTGCGCTGAAATTCTTTAAACTCGTATTGCGATGCATGGGCGGGGACGTACGCAGTACTATTGTGCAATGAAGCTGGCCATGGTGGCCTGCGCGCGCGGAGTCATATCGCAACCCTGGAAGGCCTGTTAGTTTTTTTTTTGCCATCGTTATTGTTCCACAATAAGCATAACTTATGCCAGCAAGTATGAGCGAGACGAGTGTGTCGGGTTTCTTGAACATTGCTTCCGTTACCGCCACGATGGTCGGTGGCCTGGCAGCCTTGTGCTATGACCTTCATACAAGTTTTGATTCCGAAAAACGAATTAGCAATCTCAGATAATGAATTTCCGTGAAATCACAGACCTTTTGCAATTATTTCAAACCACTGGAATCCTTTCAAGTACTGTACCCTTCGTAGTGACAGAACATGGTAGAGTGCTCACAGTGGCGCCAGGCGCGCGGAAGTTGATATTAGAGTACTGGAAGCGCCCAAAATCATTGACGCCGGCTGGCCGGTTCGTGGTTGGTGGCAGGTGCCATAGATTTACTTGCTTGAAGATAGTCTATTATTCGTACAAAAAAGCACCATAACTCTAAAATACCAATAGACTCTAATCATACAGCTAAACCTACATCATCGTGCTTCTGAATTGACTGAGGAGTGGCAGAGTCCTGGTCAAAATCTAACGCAGGCAGAATCACGCTTCCGTAAGACTCGACTCGGCGAAAAAAGATGGAAAAAAACTATGCGTACCGTACTCAAATATTTCATGCTCCTCCTTAATGTCGACACGAATATGCAACGGAGGCCGATCCCTTGGTATACTTGAAGGGGAGGGTATGGTGTCCCATCCGTGGCTCTTTTGTATCTCACTAATAGGCGAGGAAGTCGCGGATTTGCTTATGAAGGATGGTTGTAC